AAAAAAGCACTTAAAAACCAAACCAAATTTGTAATTCTGGGAACTGGGATTCCTGTTTGTAAATAGGAAGAGAATGCAGTGTAACCAGGAATGGCACAACAGGCTTCCTGAAATGTTAGTCTTATTTTAAAAATACCTACCAGGTAAGTGATATTTGGAAGCACAAAACCTTACTACTTGAAACACTGTTGTCTTTTTAGTTCTATTGATTTCTTTTGTGACTGTTGGTTTCTTTCCCAGGAACTTACAATGCTTGCTAAAAGCTCATGTTATTTTTCTTCCATGAACTGTTGCAGATCTGTGATAGTTCAGCAAAATTCTATTTCCTAGCAATTTGCTCTAGATGACATATATTTTCCAGAATTTAGCTGCAGGCTTGATTTTTTTTTTTCCCCATCTGATATCCAAATTATTGAAGACGCGATGTCTGAGAAATACTGAGAGCAATAAGGGAAGGATTCTGGAATTTGTGGGTGCAAAGGTAGTCAAAATCAGGACAATTTTAGTATCTCTGAACCTTCTCTCAGTACAGCTCTGATTCAATATTATTCCATGCCTTCATCCCTCCTTACTCCTCTCTTGAGCTGAGGATGCCTGTCATATCAATGTGGGGAAATGTCTTCAATCTACTTACAAATATCTATAAGCAAAGACTTACGGGTTCAGTTTTGCTTGAAGTATGCTTGAAGTACAGGGGCAATTCAACAAGTCTTAAATTGCACATTTGCTACTCCTGCATCTAATTCTGTCTGCTCTGTTAGTAACTGCATTGCCTTCACGTGGCTTCCTCCTCAAACTTCTAGTTCTGCTTAGGGGCTGCCTTTTATTATAATGATATTTTGCAACTTTTTGTGTTGCAAACACATAACTAGTTATGAGTAGTTCACTGTATTTCAATGAGCTATTTCAATTTTATTACTAATATTAGAAAAATGTGTGGTATTTAATGATTTTACGTGATACCTGTAAACAGAAAAATGGCTGTTCAGCACTGCATGGACCTTGATAGATGCTTTTGGCTTAAAATTATTGCACAGGAGAAGCCATTGTTACACAAAGCGTGTTACACAAAGCTTGAATTAATAATAGGATGTTGGAAGTTCCTTTAGGAATACTCTGTCAGTGGCTGGGGCACATTCTTTGAAGTGCTGTGTTGGAAGCAATTCTCTCTTTTTGATAAAGGTATTTTATTTGAAATGCTGTGAAACAATCATTACTCACTTAAGCCCCTTTGACCAATGAACCTGAAACCATCCTCAAGCATTAAACTTGCATTTTTCTTAACATCCCTACTGTTTCAGGGCAAGGATAATGTTGAGAAATTTTATTGCTGCTTATAAGCAGGGATAGCATTAGTCATCAGAGTCATTATTAAATTATATTATTTGTTTAATGGACCTACATTATATTTTGAATTGCCAAAAAATCAATTACGGTCTTTTTCTAGGAATTATAGGATAGGGCCTACAAGCACACATAAATACAAATTTATGTGAGACTGTTCTAGTAGGAACCAGACTGAAGTCTGAATTGCTGTGATAACTGCTAATTATATAAAGCCTTTCTTATTTCTAAGATCTGGAAGTTAGTGCCGTTGAAAGATGGTGCCATTGTGTCAGACATGTTTATACTTTGACCTTAAGTCAAAGCTTGGCTTTAAGTTTGGCCAAAATGATGTTACACATAGGCAGTCATTACCTCACAGTTATTCATTGTGTTTGCAAATTACTTCAGATATGATTATGAGGGTATTTTTTTTCCCCTAGTGTTAAGAATGGCATTCAATTATTTGAATGCAAACGCTTAGTGCCACTTTCATGCCCTTAGTTGCCCAAGGCACTTGCATAGCATTGACATCTACCATTTACAGAGAACTAAAGACCTGCATCTTTCTGGAATGGCAGAGGGAAACCAAGCAGGATAGGCCATGACATCCAAAATAGCATGTGACAAAAAAGTAGAATAAAGTGATTTGCAAGATTAGTTTGTACCTGAAACTGTACGTTCTAGTAGGACAAAGTGTTTGCATATTGATACCAACAACTTTTCATTGAAAAACCATCTCTAGGCTTGATTTGGAAGGATATGTGCAACCATGCTGTTTGTCTATGCTTTCAGCTTTCTGTCCATCTCTGCCAATAACTGTGGGACTCAGCAGCTGATTTCAGCCAAATGTGACAGAACAGACAGTGATTTCAAAAGTATTAAGTCCAAATATGAAAATTAGCGGCTGTATAGGAATAAAGAAACTCAAATTAATCCCTCTGAAGGGCGAATGGGTAGAACATGAACCCAACAGTTTCATGGTCTGGCTGATCTGCCATCTGGCTGATCAGCACATGGAGTGGTTTCCATTTCCACAGCCAATTCTCTGACTTGGGCTGTAACTCTGTCCAGATCACAGCTGTAAAGGTCCCTGACCCTTTTTGTGTGTATTGGAAGAGATTTGGTACTCGCTTTTCAGCAACACGAACTTTCAGGGAAATAAGAAAACCAGAATTCGTGAACTCTGCATAAGCAAATGTTGATTTAATGTTGAAAAAGAGTCCGTCTAGAAGTTTGAGATTCTGAGCAAAAAAGAATTGAAAGTTGTTAATTTTGGCTACATTTCTCAAGATTTCTGTAGTTTTTAGCAGTTGTCCCACAAGTTTTCCTCAACCACAGTAATTCAGATTTCATAGTGCTCAGTGACAGGAATACTGCTGCTTGGGAGTGGGCTGCAAATCTTGGGTGGCTGTAGTAATTCCCAAGGGAATAGCATATGTCACCACAAATGAAGTGTGAAGCTTTTNTACATTGCAGAGAAAAGTCATGTAGTAAAGACTCAACAGCTTGGTAAATCTCCACCTGAAAGAATGCAGTTTGCTTGAAGGACTCCAGGCAGACTAATGGCTTCCAGCTGGAATTGCACGTATGTGTGGGGTTTTTGTTGGATAGTTATATTAGCATAAGCATTAGGTTTGTTTCCTGTGAAGGTCTGAATAGGGAAACAGTTTTAGAGCTTGGCAAATCAATAATCCCCACACAGAATATTACTGGAGATTTATAGCTGTAATGTTTAGCTTTCCTTAATTTCCACAGTTTTCTCTCTTTCTTCACCATCAATCTGCCCATCTCCCCATGTTCTAGTAACAGAGATACACTAGCTTTCTTAAGGTTTTTTTCCCGTCATAAACTCTTTGATGTTCTCTGATTCAGCTATTTAGTTTTTTAATAAATTACAGCCTTTTGTTGTTGGTGTTTTTTTCTCTTGATACATAAAGTTTTGGTGAAATGTCAGCTTTACTTGTGTCATCCACACAGCCTGTGTCCAAGGTTTCCAGCCAAAATGAGGTAGATTAAAATTAGCCTTCAAATGGGTGTGCAGAAGTCAGTGTGTCATTCCTTCTTCTCTTGAAAATTCAGGACTTCCCTGATGCCCAGAGCCAGAAAGTCGATAACCACTCATCAGCAGAGTTCATGGCCCCAGATTTTCATGTAGCAGAACATTTTGCCCACGCAGCACCACATGGCTTCACCAGGGCTCTGCAGGGAGGAACATGTGCCTCTGAGCAAAGGCTGCTACGAATGGCACTAATCCTTCGTGATTCATGTCTACCCACAGGATGTACTTGTGGAGAAAAGGCTGCCAAACTGGAATTTCGAGTCATAAGTGGTTCAGGGAGGATCTGCCTTTCTTCTGATTTCTGCAAAGCATCCAGAATATTCCCATCCCACACAGGTGTTTTATTATTTTATATTAATACACATTAAGGAAATACCACCTGAAGGCCAGGAACAATTTAAACTGCATTGTGCTGGCATGAATAAAAATCGCGGTAAGCAACAGTCATGGCCCCCAAAGGGCTGTTGTCAGAAAGACAGCATGGACCATATGGAAGAGATGGGCAGAAGAGGTACTGAGGGGAAAGGGAAGCAAGTAACTACTAATGAGATAAATGCAAGCACACAAGCCTAATATCAGGTGTGGAATAGTTCCAATTAAAGATAGAATTTGTTCAATAACTAACATTATTATTTTGGTGAGCTGCTATCTCCAAGAGGACAAGCGTGGTGGAGTGAGGATATCTGTTTTCATATGCATTATTGAGATTCCGTATGCATGGAAATGCTTTTGATTTCCTCCAAATGCGGTTGAGACAAAGAGCTTCCAACTACTTCAGAGCCAGACGAAAGTGTCACGAGGAAGCTTAATTTTTCAAGATGTGTTACGAATATACATGATCCAAGTTGTATCCCAATGCATTTATTAAATACCAAACTACTCTGTGCCCCCTTTTTCACCCATATCTTTTGCACTTCTTTCAATTTCTAGTTACATAAGCGTATTAATTATGTATCTGTAATGATACATAATTCAAGTAGAAGTTGTTATTACAGTTACTACCTTCTCAAGCCTTTATATTACTGGTTGTGTCGTATTTGTGGACAAATCCTGCACTCCTGGCTCATGCAAGTGGATCTATTAAATTTAAAGGAGGTATCTTTAAATTAATTTTCATTCATAATATAATGATACATCAAACAGTGATGTTCAGCTGAAAATTTTTCTGTCAATGTTAATTTTAGAAGTATCAATGAAAATGCATTTTGTTTTCTCTGATTGTCTTCCTTTTATGAAATGCTGAAGAGAGAACCGTAAAATTCACAGTAGTGAGGCTTTGAATTCTGTATCACTGTCGGGCTATCACAGTCTGCATTCTTTTGTACAAGATTCCCCTGCTGTCTGCAACCCAAGGGAAACAATCCATTGCAGGAAACATTCTAAATGGTCATGTAAACACAGAATAAGATATCGTTCATTTTATATAAATTTTATATAAATTTTATAAATGTATTGATACTTGCACTTTCTGCATTTTTAAAAAATGCTCAAAACATCAAGAATTCTAGGGTTTAGTTTCTTCTTTTGAAGGATTACAAGAAGACAATTGTGCTTCCTCTTATTTAATTAAAAGGGAGTCCAGGCTTTTTGGTCTATCCCAAAGATCTTCCTTTATTGAAAATTGTAGGTAATTATTGAAAGGTGTTATAATACAAGTAGCTATATATAGTGTAATATTTTCATGGACTAATTGTCGTAACCACCATGCAACAGAAGGACCTGTGTAAAAACAGAGGCTGAGAAAGGATAATTGAATAGGAGGCAAACATTTTAAGTCTTTGCCTTTCAGAAAGTGTGGAGGCAAAATTAAAATGCCTTGGGTTGTGAAAGGGTTCAGGATCATGTATGTGTCTATGTGTGTGATTGTACATACATTTCTGTATATGTTTTGTGTGCACCATTGTAGAAATAATAGCTCTAATTTTCTATTTCCTGTATATTATACACAAGATTTCTTCATAGAGAATCTTCAGCCTTATTAACGTAGATTATTATTTCAACTTGTTCTCAGTATTTTGCTACATTCTCGGGACATCCATTTTAAATACTCTTATTTCTTATTTACTAATTATTTAATAGGTTTGTCCACACGTGTAAGGTGCTTTTACAAGATGTATTTTGATTCAAGAGGAGAGCTCTTACTATGGTAGTGTGGGTTTCTTTCACCAAGGCAGCAGTTGTTGGCCTCAGGGCACTCATCGAGCTGGAAGTAGAGAACAGGTTATGATTAGGTGCATGCAAGAATGATATTTTGCATCTCTGTGTGCAGAATTTATCTGGAGATTCTTTCTTTCCCCCAGCACATTTTAGATGAGAGATTTTCCTTTTTCTTACTCAGTTGTGGTGCTCTCAGTTTTAACTGCTGGTGTTTCATTCTTTCCTTCTGCAAAATAGTTATGACTGTCCTATGTCATCTCTTAGTAAATGTATCTTTTGATGTCACTATCAGTTGCTGGATTATTTTTTGATCAAACAAGTCATCTTTAGGAAGGGTGAAATTTTATCGTAGTTTACCAAGATCAAACAAGGGGACACCTCATAACCTTAAATGAAAGTACTGTTAACCTCACAATGATAAATTCACATAACCTGCCTTCCCAGAAAGCAGATGAGTAAGGACACCCTTCTGAGCTTAGTCCTTAACTTTCGTCATAAAATCAGAACTGAAATGATGGTAATTGCCTAAGAACCTAAATATACTGAAATATTCCTTTGGTGAGCCTGCAGAATCTACTTTTTATTGAAGTAAATAATGTTACTAAATTATTTGAAGCATTCACTCAATTTGGGAGTTTTAAACGAGGCCATACAGGGCCAGGTTTTCTGTTTAACTAATCCTTCCTGTTCTCTAAGGCATAGCCTTTTATACTCAAATGTGCTGTTATCAAAGAGTCCTACTTGTTCTGGGTTTCTCCTAGTTGTCTGTGGAGCACATATGCATCTCTCTGAGGTTAAAAGTGTTAGTGACACTTGGAAATAGGGTACCCACTCAGCTAGAGCATTGTTCTGATCCTCAATATAGAAACTGAGGATCACTTTCTTGTTTTGTTCTGTTTGATTTCTCTTGACTGGAGTTTGAAAGTACTAGGGGAATTTTGCCAGTGCCCTATTTCAAGGAAATCTTATTAATCACTTTCAGTCATACTGCACAGTTTCCTGCTGTGTATTGTTGCTGAAGAAGGAAATTCCAGCCTTATATTTTCATTAATGATCGCAGAAAGTTGGACTAGTACTACCGGGAAACATTGAATCAAGAGGGGTTATATGAAGATTTTTTATAATGTGCACTACATTGTAAGAGAAAAGTTGTACCATGGCCCTATCCTGTCTGCAATAAGGGTTATGCCATATGAAAGCGCCAGCTAAAGCAGTTACCTGCAGAGAATAGAAGCCTTAAGAAAGTACTATAGGCATCTCTAGCTGTATCATAATATGCTGGGAACTTGCAAAATATAAGGAATCAAGCTCTCAACAGGTTCTTGTAAAGTTTGGCTTTTTTAATACAGGCTAATGAACAAAAAGCGAGGCACACCAACACCCTGAGAGCATCCACTCTCTGAATGCTCTCTGCACTTCTATACATCAATGTCTTCACCCTTTCTTGTTCACAGACTATATACTCTTAAAAAAGAATTACAAATCTTCTTGTGCAGAATTATATAAGAAAATAGTTTAGGTAAAACTTTGCATTTTCATTTGCTGTTGGCATTTTTTCTGGTTTGTTTCTATTCTTGTTTTGACAATGTGGGAATCATATTACCTTTTGGGGGTCTCTTTTCTGGGGCATGTTGTGGACCGATAGTGGCCCAGAGACTACTGGGCCAGGCACCATGGTTTGGGAATCCGTGAGCCAAGCTAATGAGTCAGACCTCATGAAATGCTTCTTCCTCTTGAGTTAGAGGATGAGACCCCTCAAAATCTTCTGAAAATATAGTTTAAACTTAGATGCCCAAAATTACTTAGAATAGCTAACTTGCTCTCCTATTTGTCTAATTTACATGAAGGATGAGGATTTTACTTCTACTTATAGATAGTTATGTATTTACAGTCTCCTGATGCATTGCTCATATTGATATATGACATGAGTTGATTTTTGAAATGTATTTCAAATCCCATTATATTTGCAATATACTCTAAGTATAGCACTTAATGCAGTGTTTCATAGTGATTCAGAATAGAGGTAAGTGACTCAGAACCAGGGAGAAGTAACTAAAGTATTTTGACTGCTCTTGAAGGCGTTTCTGTCATAAGGAGATACTGGGAAAGAATGAAAATACTGCATCAGTACAAATTAAGTCAAAGGAAGAAAATGGAGCACAGCAATGGACAGTATTGATACTCTGTATTGGATGGAAGATAAGAAGCCTGTAGAAGAGATAAAAGCTGGTGTTGGTGTGCTCCAACATGCTGTTTGAAAAAATATAAACAACAGCCTCAGGTATTTTAAAGAATTAAGATTATGGAGCAATACTGAAAGAGAAAAGAATTAAAAGTTTCTTAGCAAAGACAGATATAACCCATTTGTTATAAATTTTTGCTGATTTTAAAGTTTATGTAGTATATATTAAGAACTTGTTTGACGTAAAGTGGGTTTTGTATCCTCGCTTTGCACCTGAAATATTGCATAAGCTACAATACTTTTAAATACTCCGTCTTATGTAAGCACCGAAAGTTGTCTCCATTTTTTTATTTCCTTTTGATAAATAGTTTGCTTAGGTTGTTGACACAGGACTTTTTTATTGAAATCTAGTGGAAACCTCTAAGAATTCTTACACATTTATGATGTATGAAGTCTCACTTAATTGGTCTTGTGCTGTTTCCATTGTCTACTGAATTCAGTTTGCTTCCTGACTGAGTTTAATGAATTTGCTGTCTGTAGGGAACAATATTAATGCCAAGCACTGCTCTGAGGCCCCAGGCAGGACTGGTGCAAGGTGCTGTGCAAACACACAGATGTCATCATGAGCCCCAGTGTTATTTTGCCACATTTATTACTTTACTTTCACACATACAGCAACTTCATCTAAAAAGTTTTTCTTTGAAACCACATTGTGCTAGCATTACTGCTCAGCAGCAATAAGGACCGTCCCTTGAACCCTACAGAGTTGGATTCAAGGGTCTGAATAGCTGGGACCATTAAAAACATTATGTCAGGTCTGTCCATGTCCTCAAGTGGGAATTGTGCAGGAATAAGAGCAACAGGTCCTCCTCCATAGGCCTTAACAGCTCAGCTTTCTTTCCTGAGTACAGGTGGTAGACTTAGTTTTTCTGCATCACCTGGTTGACTCCTGTATTACTGCATGGGTCACCATGCTGGGTGATGAAGGGGACAGGAAAAATATTCTCCTAATATTAAGCAGATATTAAGGTCTTGGTAGAGCTGTCATTCCCCAGTTTAATAAAAGTCTAAAGCATAGAAGTGCTGGGAAGGAAAAGCCATTTCTCTATACACATCTACTTCAATGGGTGAAGAGGAATTTTACACAGTGGTAACAGGAATTTTACAGCTGTGTAATACCTGTTCACACCAGCTGCGAGTGTCTGATCCAGTCATGTGGGACCCCACAGCCTGGCATTGTACCATGGTGTTGGGATGGCACAGCCTCACAGTCAGACAGTTATTGCAGAGGCCAGTGTGGACCTGGACAACTGCTCTGGTGCCAGACAGTGATGATGACGTTCTGTCTGTAGTTCTCTAGATGTGTGATCGATAAACAAGGAGACCTTGTAGGCTCTAATTAGGAAAATGCAAAGATGGAATTGATGTGCAGGCAGAATTAATTTTCATTAATTTAAATTAATTCTTTAAATTTTAAATTAATTAATTTTAATACAATTGTTTCTATTCGGAGGTCTGACTGCTGCAGTCAATCACTGTGATCACCTCTGCAACACAGTTGCAGGGAGAAATACTCTTCCAAGATTAATGTATGAAAATTGGCCTGTCAGTGTTTCTATTCCTGTTTCTAATTTTATCACTGATTATTACAGTTGCCTTTGTAATACCATTTGTTCATCTTGGGCCTTCTTTCACTTTTTCCTCTAAAAAACTCTGTGGAGTAGCTTTTAGTTAACCGGGATGAAGTAGGTTAAGCTTTACCAAGTAAAGTGTTCAGAAATTACTGGATGAAAACTGGTTATCAGTGCAGGGTATTGTTGAACTACTTCACTGCCAAATGACTCATCCCAAGAAGTTAAAAATAGAGTTCCAATGGGTTTTTGTTGTTCAGTTGTATTGTGACTCCAGAATTACATTATCACAGCTCCAAGGGCAGCTCAAATGCCATGTTACCCCACGGTAAGAAGGACTTGACAAGCATTCTCCTACTCGATGGTCTCCAGGCATTTGGGTTGTTTTTATCTGGGGCAGATGTTCTCAAGAGACTTTTTACTTGAGCAGGAGGGAATAGATATAATGGAAAAGACTTTTCCATGTTGTTATGCGGGAAAAAATTCCTCGAACTCTGGTCTTACACTAAGAAATGCATTTTGTGATTTTTGTAACTGCAGCTGGAAGCTTTACAGAGAGCTCATACTGAGTGTGTGTTTCTGCTTTCCTGCCTCAAGTGAGTTTGAAATACTCCCAGTTATTTGCCTCTCAATCAGATTTATTTCCTCATTCAGGCTAAGCAGTTCCAGTGTGCTCTGCAGTCAGACACATTGAACAGTCACTGTAAGTTATGTATCCACTTCTTCAGTTTTGGTTCAGGTACTTCTGGTTGTTTCCTGGTTTTGTTTTGTTGAGGTTGATGAGAAGAAAGCAATGGAAAACAGAGGAGAGAAATGTCTGTATGAATCCCCACAATGACTTCTGTCATTTTGGTTTTGCTTGTCTGAGGTCAGACTGTGACATTTAAGCCTTTTTGGTTTAGAGAGGAGTATTAAAACCCATCAGTGAGTGTTTTCTCACTTGACACCAGCACAAAGTTAGCACAAGCTGCATGTGACAGGAGGAAAGATCAATTCAGTGTTTCCCTGCCCTTACCTCCTCCATTTCATTATGATGCCAAGTCCCCGCATTCACAGAATTTTGGTGTCACCCACATTCTAGAGTTTTCCGTGCCTATAAAGGCTTAGGGGCAGTCAGAAGGGAAGCACTATGTGTTGGGACCTGAGTGAGATCAAGCCTGAGTGAAACAGGGCCAGTGGTTCTCCACAGAGGGATCTGCCCTTTCGCAGAGATTATTCACTAGTGAGTTTTGC